ATTGCCTTTCAAAAATGGAGCTATGTGGAATTTCACACAGATCCAAACCACAAATTCATCCCATTTCCTACTCTATTTATTTTTTAAATATATTTTACTGATTTTTTACAGAGAAGAAAGGATAGAGAGCTAGAAACATCCATCAGCTGCCTCCTGCATACCTGCCCCTGGGGATGTGCCCGCAACCGAGATACATGCCCTTGACTAGAATTGAACTTGGGACTCTTCAGTCTGCAGGCCAATGCTCTATCCACTCTATTTAATTAGCTATCTTCTGCCTAATAACCATTGTTTCTGAACAACGGCTTTGTCTTCCTTCCCATTACCATCACTATTAGTTTACTTCCTTTGGAGAGTTTGTTGTTGGTGGTTTTTTCACTAATAAACAAAATGTTTAATATTTCAAGAGATTTCCAGCAGATGCAACAAGTTTATAACACAAAGCCAGTGGAGAGGGGGACAATGGCTGTTCTTGCCCAGCAGGTACACGACTCTCCCTTGCAGCCCCATCTCTCGAAGGCCAGGAGACTCCAACCTGTGCCCCTGAACTAGCCAGATGAGGTGAATACAAAAACTGTATAAATAAATAAATATCTGCTATACTTACTCTCTACATTGTTTTCTTTTAAAAAAAAAAAATTAAGAACACAGAGAAGCATATCAATTAAAGCTGCATAGTTTTAGAAGATGTAGTTGTCTTTGCTGAAGAGTGGAGCTGCCAGCTTGTGTCAAAGGACTGGATGTTGGAGAGCCTGCCTAGAATTGGATCGGTGCCTGCAGGACCATTGGCCCAGATTGCTGAAACCACAGTAATGAAGCCTGTCACTGCCTCCCGGTGCCAGGCAGAAGGCAAGAGCCTGACTTCTGGCACTGTTCACTCCTGTGCTTCCTCTCAAATTTTTAAATATATTTTTATTGATTTCCGAAAGGAAGGGAAAGGGAGAGAAAAACAGAAATGTCAATGATGAGAAACATCAATGATCGATCGGCTGCCTCCTGCAGGTCCCACACTAGGGATCAAGCCGGCAATCTGAGTATGTGCCCTGACCGGGAATCAAACCCATGACCTCCTGGTCCACAGGTTGACGCTCAATCACTGAGCCACACCGTCTGGGCTCCTCTCATATTTTTAAGGTTCACCTGAGAAATGCTTTCAGATTTTCAGCCACTTTTTGTTTTTCCTTTAATCTTTATATTATCACAGGCCATTGAAGAACAGAAAGAGTTAAAAAGGATGGGAAGTGAATCAGAAATAAAGCTTATGGGGAGAAATGGTAATGGAAAAGAAAAAAAGAAAAGAGAAACAAAACTAAGAGAATTCTCAACCCTGACTGAACAACCCTTAAAACCAAACATGATGAGGCGTACTATAAAGCTTCTGTCCTTATATCAAACTAAACCTAGCAAAATTCAGTTGATTTATTTTTTACCTGGGGGAAAGATTTAAAATCCAGTAATATTAACATGTAATTTTTTCATAGAAGGAAATGAGTACCTTAGCTAAAAGAAATATTAATGTCTTTGAATAATTAACACTCTCCCCAAAGGGATCTTGATAAAGCAAAGAGGTCTGGAAGTTGGATAACTTATTAATAACTGTGCTTAATGTCTTTGTTCTTAACTACTTCCTCAAACAAAATGTCTTTGTTAATTAAATTTTACTCATATCATGTTAATACTGCTTGTAGCTTGAAAAGTGAAATCATTTTATCTGGCCAATGACACAGGAGAGCAGTGCCCTCCCCACTCACATCCTATCTCCATATGACAGAGTCACTTACTCCCATTCCTTCACGTGTTTCTTCTGTACGTGCACTTCAAATGTCTCTAAATGACATGCTAACCATGCTATTCCTTGGTTTTTCACTGTTAGATAATAACCATTGTCTTGCTGCTATGGAAGATGTAGATTTAACTCTCCTCTCCCACCTTCTCCCCACACGTATTTGTCTTCCCTCCTCATCCACTTCTGATTAAGTGAATAACCAGTATTTTCATTATTACAAATATAATTACTTACTGCTACACCAAACCAGTGCATCAGAGTTACATGTTATTTCACAGAAATTTATTTTGTTTTGTTTTCAAACCTCTGTGTGTTTATTTCATCCCACCCATCATGCTTATTCATCATATGGGCCACGAATGAATGGATGACTGAATGAACGAAGAAATGAAATGTCTAAAATGAATGAGTAAACAAAAGAGTACTAGTAAATGCCTGTATGAAGCCTGGAAGAGGGAGAGATGAATGATAATAGGAGTCACTGTTTATCTAGCATCTCCAAAAGACGCAGGCTTATAGCTTCTGGTGTAGACAGTGGGGTCAAACATGGATAAACAGACCATGGGTTGTAGAATCAGATTTGGGTGCATGCTCGGGCACTTACTGGTTATGTGACCTTGTTGTACATTATCTGAGCCTGTTTTCTCATCTCTAAAATACCTAGAGTAATACACAGTATTGTAATTATTCAGATAAGAGAATACATGAAGAGTGTCTCTTTGGTGCCTGGCAGAGTAGGTACTGATAACGACAGTGATCATCATTATACTCTGTTGGGGACAGAGGAAGCTAATCAGGCTATCTCCTCCAACCTAAGATCATCATAATATTTACTGTAGTTAATTCTAAGGTTACTAAGCAACCTTATGATTCTCACTCTGTCTTTTAACCAACTTGGTGTTGGGGAAGAGGTACCCTGAATAATGAACAGTAAGACTCCTGCTACTGTGAAGATGCACTAGTAAGTCAGCTTCTTGGTGTAATCATGGATCTCCTATTTAGATTGATGCCATTCAGTTCATTAGTCTGAATAATGCTTGATGACCTGAACACTGAGGGGCGAGGATTCCATCAGAGGACTGATTCTTGAGAAGCCCTGTCCGAACAGCTGGGCTCCCACTCCTACATCCCTCTCTTTTTAATTACACACGATAGCCCTCAAACACAGAAATCCCCACGTGTCCTCTGAAACAAAGGAAGTGTCCACTGTGTTTGCTGTCACTTGTTCTAAATGTATTTTATTACAAGTCCCTGAGAACTGGTAGTCCATAGACAGGGTGCACCTTTATCATTCAGCAGACATTTCAAAACCAGAGTACCTTGTTCATTAACATGCCAGGCCAGAGTTTGCTGCAATGCTGATTTCGGTTGCTCTGTTCATGACACTTCTGTGTCCACACTCTCCTCTTGTATCCACAACCTCTTTTCTAAAAACCTTCCCCATAATTCATGTCCTTCAAGTAGTCCTCCAGAATGATATTACCCAACGCTGGTTATTTCTTTACACTAAGTCTTCTCCAAGGTTAGAAATATAATTCGGGCTGTGTTATCTCATACTTTTCCATTAAGAAAAATTTCTGGCTCCTACCACCCAAGTAAGTGACCTAGAACAAGCCCTTTCCCTCTAGGCCTTAATTTCTTCTTCATCAAAATAGATGTAATTCATACCTATAAGAGCTATTTTGAAAAGCAAATGAGATTACATTCAAGAAAGTGCTTGGAAACCAGTGGGTATGGGAAACAAGGAAGCTGCTCCTAAGGGTGGAGCTACTAGGACTCCCACCAGTTATGTAGAATCCAGTCATACGACTCTGTTTTGTAATTGTTACTTGAAAAAGGCCAGCCAATGTCCTTCCTCTTCATGACCTTCAAACTTCATCAAGCTGTGCTAACATCTATTTTCCTAAGGAAGTAACATATTTCAGTAGCTACTTTTCTTCTTTCTCTCTGTGAGTCTATCCTATATAATAAAAACCTAACATGCAAATCGACTGAACGGTAGAATGACCAGCGGAACGACATGTTGCTATGACATGCACTGACCACCAGGGGGGCAGATGCTCAACGCAGAAGCTGCCCCCAGCCTGCAGGCCCCAGGCCAGTCAAGGTGGGTGTGAGCAGGCCCCACCCCCTCCCATCACCCCTCTTGTCACCCTGCAGATCGGCCCTCACTGTTGACCAGGCATAAGGACCCTACCCATGCACGAATTTTTTGCACTGGGCCTCTAGTGTTTACTAAAGTTCCTAATTAGAACCTCACCTAAAACATAAGCAGTCCCCTGCCCTAACCACTCATTTTCATTAAGGGTACTCCAACCCCTTTATGGTACACACGTTTCAAGAGAACTGTTTAAAAACAGTTGTGTTTTGAAATCACAACAGTGACAGTGTCTAACACTAAATTTGATAACTCTATGCACTTTTGGTTTAAAAAATAATTTATTCACTTGTGACTGCTTAATTTTTGTTTGAGAGAATTGTTAATGTAGGTAAAGCCTTGCATTTCACAAATGCTCAAACCAGACTCAGCATTCATCATATTTCACTGGTGAAAGTCCTTATGACCTCCAGGTGTGTTTCTATTAAGTAAATGAATCATCTCTAGGAAGAAGGATAAGAAAGTAGGCTGCAAAGAAAACAAACAAACTGAAAAAATATTTTGGTTTACGAAAGCTTAAGAGGCCACATAATCCTTTGGGGTTTTTGTTTCCCTCAACTAGGTCAGCTTTTGACACCTGAATCATTTTTCCTGCCTTTTCTTTTTCAATCCTGCGGCACCAGAGTCCCATTTGCAGTTTTAAGTGACCTACTTAATTAGAATTTGGAATCCTCAGCCAGAAAAGTGTATTTATTGTCTTCATTCTGTTTTTCTCAACAGATCTTAGTAATGAACTGAATTTCTAATTCAGTCTTTAAAAAAAAAAATCCATACAGCTTAAGCAATTTCAAAATCCAAATGTCCAGTTTTAATTATATTCATGTGAGTCCATTCAAATATCTCTCAAGTGTCAGGGAACCTTGGTTCTCTGTGCAACTCTGCTGCTAACTCCTACAAAGTCTGGGCACATCCCTATCCTTCCGCCTTGGATTTCTCACCTTTCCATAGAGGAGTTTAGCGTTTTCTAGGGGATTCCACCATCTCTTCTTCGGAAAGTAAGCAGTAGTGCAGCTTTAGAGACACAAACAAAGGCAGAAAGGCAAAAGCCTCACTTACCATAGAAGAGGAATGCTCTGGTCCTGGGATGATGGAGATAGGTCCGGTTGATGGTGAAGAAACAAGCCTCTTCTCCGCACTGGCCTACCCTGCCCGTTTCCCCAGTCAGTGGGGACCACCAGAGCATGATGGGGTAGCTATCCGTTTCCATCGGGTCTTTCCTATTCAGGACCAGAGCGTCTTTCTTAGGGGAAGGGTAGAGATGTGTAGGCTCTTCTTCCACTTTTGCATGCCCGTCTCGCAAACTGGAACCTTTAAACTTCTTCCTTTCAAATTTTCCCAGCTCAACTACCACCTACGAGAGAAGACAATTATTACCAGAGTTAGACCATTTCATTTCCTTTTGCACATCTCCCATCCATCTTGATGATTTTAGACTCTCTATTTGGGCTCTATGGCTGCTGTAACAAATTGCCACAGACACAGCCATTTAAAACAATGCGCATTAATTATCATATCGTTCTGGAGGTTAGAAGTCTCAAACCAGCCTCACTGGGCTATCCAAGGCATCATCAAGGCTACCATATTCCATTCTAGGGACTCGAGAGAAGAAGGGATCCATTTTCTGGGTTTTCTATCTTTCAGAGCCACTCACAATTCTGGGCTCACAGCCCCCTTTCTCCACCTTCAGTACCAGCAACCACCTTCAGTTGCATCTCTCTGGCACTCCTTCTGTCGTCACATCTTTCTCTGAGCACAGCCAAGCAATGTTCTCAGTGGGCCCACACAGATAATTCAGGATAATCTCCTCTTCTCAAGGTGTGTCACCTTAATCGCATTACAGAGTCCACTTTGCCATGAAAGGTAACATAGTCACAGCTTCCAGGGATTAGGGCAAGGACCTAGACTCCAAGATATCCACCAACAAGGATGCTTACTCCTTCTGACACATAGCAGATAGGTTTCTCCTCTATTTAACAGGCATATGTAGTTACTTTTGTCTCCATGAAATCTACGAGAGTCAGGGCTGTTACCTGGCTATGACTGGAGATGACATTCTAGGGGAAATGAGTTAAATTACCAAAAGGTTTTTCATTATTATAACTAAATGTGTCATAACCTGGGTCTTACATGTCTAATGATATCCACTATGGCATTGGGCTGGTGAAGTAGACCGTGAATACAGGGCTTCCTCCTACGTAAACAAAAAGTTTGTATTTGTTTCAGGACAGTCTGGATCACGGGACAGCTAGGCCATCAGTAATGGTAATGTGAAGGGCAGGTGGGCAGAGTGAAACAAGAGGGATAGCTGCTCTCTAAAAGTGCTGCCATTTCATCAAACTTCAAGGTGTGAAATTAATAGAACATTATAAAAATAAAAGAGGCCCGCTGAAACCAGTTTGGCTCAGTGGATAGAGTGTCAGCCTGAGAACTGAAAAGTCCCAGGTTCGATTCCGGTCAAGGGCATGTATCTTGGTTGCGGGCACATCCCTATAGAGGGTGTGCAAGAGGCAGCTGATCAATGATTCTCTCTCATTGATGTTTCTAACTCTCTATCCCTCTCTCTTCCTCTCTGTAAAAAGTCAATTAAAAAAAAAAAAAAAATATATATATATATATATATATATATATATATATATTTTTTTTTTTTTTTTTAATACTAGAGGCCCGGTGCACGAAATTCATGCAGGGCTCAACCCCCACTGCTGCAGCTTCATCAGAAAGGTGATCCAGTGTAATTAGCATATTGCTTTTATTGCTATAGCTATCAGAGAAGACATAATCTGTGTTGGCCCCACACTCAGCAGCAAGGGTGATACCTTCTTTATGCCCACAGATGTGATATAGAGTTTGTAACTCCCTGGTGAGGGTCCATAACTTGCACTGGATTCTCTGAGGAATGCAATAACCAAAGAAATGTTAAGAGTCACTGAGTGAACACCAAGTAGTGTTCAGTAGAAGTAGTGTTCCAACAGGAGAAAAAATGATATTGGCTTTAATAATCTTGGGTACCTGTGACACCAAAGTCAGCATTAGAACAGTAAAACCATCACTGAAAACTCAAGTCTAACCAACCCTTGTATATACCTTTCTCAGCATTTCCAAACGTGGAACAACTGAACAACCCATCACTATGACTATGACATGCACTGACCACCAAGGAGGCATGTGTGGAACATGATGGAGCAAGTGAACGAGGGTGCCAGGTCAAGGTGGGGCGCTGGTCGCTGTCATCAGGGTGAGCCTCTGGTGATTACTGAAAATTCTTTGCTCCCTCACACCACAGTCCTTCCGGGCCCTTGCACCTGCTGCCGGCACTGGCCCCACTCACACCAGAGCCTCCATTTGCACCTGCTGCCTCCACCCTGTACCAGCCCTGATTACGTGGCACCGTCAACAGATGTGAGTGGTGGCTGCTGGCCCTGATCACCCCTCAGGGCTTCTCTACCTCTCCAGGCTCCTGACAGGTGATTGGAGCAGCAGCAGCCACTTGCACCCACTGCTGGTGCTGGCCCCAATTGCTCTGCATCAACGCATGGGAGCAATGGCAGGAGCAGGGCTGCTGGCCGACAGGGGACCAGGAGCCATGGTGGGAGGGGCCAGGCGGGAGCATGGAGGATGGGCCAAAACCCACCCCTTTGCCCATTGCAGCCTCTCGGCCCATAGTTCCTTTCAAGGTGCATGAATTTGTGCACTGGGCCCCTAGTAACACCTCTTTCCTACGAGTTGACTCAGCCAAAGACTGTATTTTCACCCCACCTTCCCTTTGAGTGTACAACCAACAACTTAACAACTTATAGAAACCCATGAATATAGCTCCTAAGACAACTTTTTTTTTTCTGTTTCTCATCAGTGTCTATGATGTGAAGTATAAGTTTCATTTTCAAATACTAATGATTGCTTTAAGGAGAGATTTTTTTTTTCCTGCCAAACAGCTTTTATCACTACCAGGTGGTAGAAAAGATGGGGGATAGAGGAAAACCATGAGAATAAAAATCAGCCAAATCCAAACTCTGGGAAATTCAAAAGGACAAAAGACACGGTTCCTTCAACAAATCCATGACACGGAATCAAAGGTGGAGCAAAAGAATCTTTTATAGGAAACAACAACAACAACAAAAATACACACACACATTTCCCCCGCCCTCGGCACAGGCAACTTTTCATTAACGAGCTGCTGTCGCTTGATCACTGTGACTCACAGGCAGCTGTGGGGTGCCTCGATCCAGCTTACAGCTGAGGCAGGACCTTCTGAAACCACAGCAGGCCCAGCTGGGACGCCGCCACCTTGGGTTACTGTAGAGGGTGCCACCTGCCCACCCACAGCCATGTACTACCCAACTGCGCGCCTGCTCCTGCTCCTGGTGGGGGTGGCCCAGGCCTTTCCCATCTCTGCCTTCAATGCCTAGAGGCTGTTGCTTGGCAAGGTGGCCAGGGGGGACATGATGGACCCCTTGGTTCAGATCCTGGCTCGCTGTGACATCACGGTGCTGCAGGAGCTGGTGGACTCTTCGGGCAGGTCATGTACCTCCTGCTCCAGGAACTCAACCGATTTGATACCTCCGGGCCCTACAGCTCCCTGAGCAGCCCCTTCCTGGGGCGCAGCACATACGTGGAGAAGTACGTGTACATCTACAGGTCCCACAAGATGCAGCTCCAGGACTCCTACGTGTACGGTGACAGTGACGACCTCTTTATTCGGGAGCCCTTCGTAGCCAGGTTCACTCTGCCCAGCAAGACCTGCCCAGCCTGGTGTTGGTCCCCCTACACACCACCCCGAGGGCCGTGGTGCAGAGCAGAACGCCCTGTAGGACGTGTTTCTGGATGCCTCCCAGCGCTGGGAGGGCGAGGACATCATTCTGCTGGGGGACTTCAGTGCTGACTGCGGCTCCCTGACCAGGAAGCGCCTGAAGGAGCTGACGCTTCGGACTAAGGCCGACTTCTACTGGGCAATCGCCGACGGTGCGGACACCACGGTGCGCGCCAGCACCCGCTGTGCCTACGACAGCATCGTGCTGCATGGGGAGCGCTGCCGGAGGCTGTGGGGTGCGGCCTCTGCCTTCAAGTTCGCCCAGAGCTGCGGGCTCACCGAGGAGGAGGCCCTCAACGTCAGTGACCACTACCCCGTGGAGGTGGAGTTGAGGTTGAGGCTGAGGCTGAGGCCGAGCCCACGCCCGAGCCCGAGCCCGGGCCCAAACCAGTGCCTGCTGGGACACGGAACACGGCCTCTCGGCCAGGCTGCTCCCCGCTACTGCTACTGCTGCTCCTGCCCCCATAGCTGGGCCTGGGGGCCTGAGCCTCACCCACCCTGGTGTCTGCTGCCCAAGATGTGATGACTGACAGTACTGCCCTTAGGTCTCAAACCCCAGCCTCTCCGGGCTCTCTTCCCTGGAGCCAAAGCGACTACTGAAGGGCTTCTACTGCAGCCCAACCTGGCCCTGCCTGGCCCTGCCCGGTCTTGCTCTGCCCTGCCCCATCCTGCCCTGTCCTGTCCATCCTGCCCTTCCCTGTCCTGCCCCACCCTGCCCAACCTGCCCTGCCCTGCCCTGTCCCGTCCTGCCCTGCCCTGTCCCATCCTGTTCTGCCCAGCTGGGCCCTGCCCAATCCTACCCAACCTAGCCCTGCCCCAACCCAGCCCTACTCTGGCTTGCCCAACCTGGTCCTACTCAGCCCTGCCCTACTGGACTGCAACAGGCATTGTTGATCCAGGCATTGCAAAACAATGTCCCTCCTATCTGCCTTTCCTTTGGTTTGGCTTGTGTTCTTTTGCTGGGCCTGTACCTGATGTGAGAATGTGTGAGAGAAAGGCAGGGGCCTGAGGCTGAGGGAGGGGAAAGGGGCTTCAAAATCACAACACATGAAAAATTATGAAAAAAAGGAAACATATACAAACTGAGAACGAAAAGCTAGCTAGGAGGGACACCACATGCATGGAACAGATATGTCACTGGGGTACCTGTATTGTACATGGAATCCATGTGAATTAGCATGAAGATTCCAGTAGATACAAAAATGGAGATAAGCAGTTCACACAGACACACACACACACACACACATACACACACGAAAACAATGGCAGATGCAATGGAACTAGTGTGAGCTAATGAAAATAGCTGCAAACATACCCAACATCTGTGACAAAGCCCATGAGGTACAGTCAGCCCACGTTGGCACATTCATAGGGTGTGGCCCCAAGCAAAGTGGTTACCAAGGCTATGGATGCACAGAACATATATAACTGGCTGTCATGTAATGACAGAAATTAACTGTAAGAAATTCTGCTTTGTGCCGAAACCGGTTTGGCTCAATGGATAGAGTGTCGGCTTGGGGACCGAAGGGTCTCGGGTTCGATTCTGGTGAAGGGCGTGTACCTTGGTTGCGGGCATATCCCCAGTAGGGGGTGTGCAAGAGGCAGTTGATCGATGACTCTCATCGATGTTTCTAACTCTATCTCTCTCCCTTCCTCTCTGTAAAAAGTCAATAAAATATATATATATATATATATTTTTTTTTAAATAATTCTGCTTTGTAAGCATGACGTTTGCTTTGTGGACACATCACTGTGTCCCTATGTAACATACCCACATATGGAACACCCAGGTTTCCTTGGGGTATGTTAGGACAGTCCCTCAGTCAGTGTGGGAGGGCGAACACAGGTGGCCTGCAGAGGACATGAAGTCAGAGAGTGAACAGAGCTCAGTAAAAGCAGTTAGTGCCCTGGCTGGGTAGCACAGTTGATTAGAGCATCATCCTGATAGGCTACGGTTGTAGGTTTGATCCCCATTCAGGGCACATACAGGAATCAACCAATGAATGCGTAAATAAGTGGAACAGTAAATCAAGGTTTCTCTCTCTCTAAAATCAATTTAAAAATTTTTTTTTAAAATACACACAAAACTCGTGACACACCAACTAAATGCCATGTGTGGCATTTGTTTACCTCACATTCAGACTAACCCATTACAAAAGCAAAAAAAAAAACACACTTTTTCGAAATAATAGGGAAAGATTCAACATGGCATGGGATAAAGATGGTACTGAGTAATTATTGTCAATTTTTGTTGGGTATGACAACAGTTATTCTGAATTTTTAAACGTTCCCATCATTAGAGAATCATACTAAAGTAAATCCAGGGGAAATGATATGATGTCCTAGATTCACTTCAAAATGCTCCAAATGTATTCAATATTTTTTCTTCAATTAAAAATAAAATAAAATAACATAACATAACATAATATATATATATATTACATAATAACATAATATATATATATTCTCCAAAAATGTATACACACTTTAAATGATTATAAAGCCAACTAGAGGCTCAGTGCATAAAAATTCATGCACTAGAGGGGGTGTCTCTCAGCCTAGCCTGCACCCTCTCACAGTTGGGAAGCCCTCCAGGGCGGGAGGTGACCCAGTGATCAAAGAAGGCAACGCACCCATCAGACCTCTGCTACTGCCACTGCCGGCAGTGCAAGCTTAGGCCGGACCTGGTTACCTGAGCCTCGGGTGGCCCTGGGGGCTGTGGGGCTAGAGGGACTTGGAGACTCCAGAGGCAGGCCGGACCCACCTGGGGGCTGCCATCTTGAGGCTGTGGGTTCCGCCATCTTTGAGGGTGTGATGGTCAATTAGCATATTCCCTCTTTATTAGATAGAATGTTTATAAACATACAGTTCATTTTCAAAATTTAAAAGAATCTTCAGAAATGAGTATTTTTTTCAATGCCTGTTTTCAAACTGGTGACCGTTCTGATCCAGGCCCTGCTGATAACGTGAAGCCATGAAATCTCAAACATCAATAATCATTTTGTTCAGTATTTGTGCATCCTCAATTCATCGACTGTTGCTGTTGTGTACCATAAACTTTATCTTTTATGTAATCCTCATTTTTAAAAAGTCTAGTGGCACTTTGGGATAAATTTTCTTTGTTCAAAGCTTAGTCTGACTTCACCCATTATTTCAAATCAGCTAAACCTGAAAAGGAGTGAACACTGAGTTATCAGCTGTTAAAGTGTTATACATTTTGGGGATATATATATACATATATATATATATATATGTATATACACACACATATACACACACAAAGAAATCACAGGTAGTATATATAAAATACAGTTAAATGTTAGTGGAAAACAATGCCTCAGATAAATGATCTCCTCCAGAGAACCACAATGGGTTAGCTTAACTATAGGTCAACACAACATTTACATGTTTAGATAATTTGTTAATTATGTTATGGATCTGTTATGGGCTGAGCTGTGCCCCTCCCAAAATCCATATGTTGAAGAAATACCCCCCTTGCCTAAACCTTAGGAGATAGGTTTGTTAAAGAGGTAAAGGAGTTAAAACAAGGTCATCAGGGTGAGCCTTAATCCAATACGACTGGTGTCCTTATAAAAAGAGGAGATGAGGTCACAGACAAGGACGGAGGGAAGGCCATGTGAAGCACAGATGGAAGATGGCCATCCACAACCAGAGAGGCCTCGGAAGAAACAACCCTGCTTGCTGACGCCTTCATCTTGGACTGCTACCCTCCACAGTGAGAAAGAAAGTTCTGTTGGTTAAGCCACAGGGTGGTACTTTATGGTGGCAGCCTAGCAAACTAATACAGAATCCACAACATGATTTTTTTTTTAATGTATCCTTCCTCTACCCTGCTTACATAGCAAATTATTTTCATCTGCCTAGCCTGCAAACCAGTAAGGTCAGAGATGGTCCTAAATACACAGCTATTATATATGTTCATTTTTAGTGTTTAAAAAAAAAATAGCAAAGCAGTCAATGTATCAGGGAGGACTGGGAAACAGCCCAAAGCACATTGTCGGGGGCAAAGTGAAACCAAGACCCAGATGAAGGTTTAGCTCCAGTAACCGTACCTCCTGTCACATTCCGGAAGCTTGGACCTATGAACCAGGAGGTCATGATTCTCCATCAGGGCACATGCCCAGGTTGAGTGCTCGATCCCCAGTAGGGGAGTGCAGGAAGCAGCCAATCAATGATTCTCTCATCATTAATGTTTCTATCTCTCTCTCCTTCTCCCTTTGACTCTGAAACAAGCAATTTTTTTTAGTCACTTTAAAGAAAAAAGGGTAGATAATTATTTTTTTGGTAAATCAATCAAATTTATACTTTTTTTTTTCCAGATAGGCAAAAAATATACTTTTTTGGTGTGCCATAGAATTTTAGTAACTGGTTTATTGTGCCATGAGATTTTAAAAAGTTGAAAATCTTTGGTCTGGTAAATACGTCAAGAATGACAGTTATTAATGCAGATATCTGTGTCCTGCAAAAAAATCTATCTTGTTCTCAAAATAGTCACTGTTTCCTCAAGAATGCCATCTTTCAGACATGATCACAATAGGGGACTTTGAGGAAGCCATCCAATTTGACCCAATAAAACAGACTGAGCTCTACTTCTCTCTAAAACTGATCCCTAGTCACTGACTTTGTTTCCACCTTATACATCCACTCAGTAAACCTCACTTTTTTTTTTTTTAAAGGAATTTCCAATGTCTTAGACAGGAAACCCTGATCCTGAGAGATACAGCAAAAAGTACTTGTAGAGAACAAGTCCAGGAATCAATACTGCACAACCCAAATTCTGGGTACCTGGAGTGTGACAAGCAGAAAGATGGTAGCTGTGATGCACAGGCAAGATGCCAAAAGCTTCCTCCTCTGAATCCGCACCATGCTGCCCTGCCCCAGGTAACTGACAGAGGGCGAGCCTGGTCACCAGGTGTTCTCTTGTCGGCCCATAGCCTGAGACCATTTCACGTGGAGGAGCCATCTGGGTGTCAGTTTCCTCCACGGCCATTCCTGCTGGGATCCGGTCTCCATGACGGACTGAGATCAGAGGTTCCGAGTGGGCCTGGCTTGGCATTGAGAGGGAACAGCATGCAGTCTTCTTAAGCTATCATCAGAGCAGCTGGAGATTCTTCAGATCAGAGGGCATCAAAAAAACTCTGTAATAAATGAATCATCTTTTAGCCATAGTGCAGACTTAATAAATGTAGTCTTCAGGGTTATCATGTAAAAACTCAAAACGTTAAAACTAACAGGAACCTTTGAAACCATGAAGTCCTCACTCATAGATAAGGAGACCAAAGCAGGGAGGTGAAGTGACTTGCTCAAAGTCACACAGCCCATTGGAGCAGTGACAAGCCTACAACCAGGCCTCGAGTCTGAAATTCTGTTTCCACTTAATGTTCTCTGCCTCCTGAAGGGTGAATTCCAGAAGTCATTTCCATGTAATTCCTTCCTTCTATCTAGGTTTCAAAAGAGTAGAAAGTGGAGTAGAAATTATCAGTCCTAAGGACCATCCACCCACTTCTGTAAAAATTAGGAAGAAAAAATAAACAACAGTTCAGGCTTTAATCAAAAATAGATAATAATCCATTGGCCCCCAACTCCTCCCAAGGAAAATAAATTTATGCACAACACAAAGAATTACGATTATTGATTTATGTGTTTCATCTTTAACAGTACAGGTAATAAAGCAGTGGGTTATGTGGGCAATGTGATTCTCTGGAAGTTTTGAAATAAGATTTTCATCTATCTGAAGTGGATAATCTTTTCAAAAGTTTTAAAACTGAACTTAGTCCCACAAAACACCTTTTATGCCCAGGGTTCTTTAAGTCCAATGCCTTGAGCAAGTGACACTGTGGAGTTCAGAACACAGCAAGGATCGCTCTTCCTCTGGACCAGTGGTTGGCAAACTCATTAGTCAACTGAGCCAAATATCAACAGTACGATTGAAATTTCTTTGGAGAGCCAAATTTTTTAAACTTAAACTTCTTCTAACGCTACTTCTTCAAAAACAGACTTGCCCAAGCCATGGTATTTTGTGAAAGAACCACACTCAAGGGGCAAAAGAGCCGCATGTGGCTTGCGAGCAACAGTTTGCCCACCACAGCTCTGGACTATAGAGCATTGGTTTTTTTGTTGTGTTGTGTTTTTTTTTAAATGGTCTGATTCAAAGGTCTGATTATGTTTCTCAGCTATAGAATAAAACATACTATTAGGAACCTTATAATGATGTAGAATTCAGGTTAAAAACTTTGGTCTTAAAGGCGTGCTCTCCACTCGTGGATCTACCTTGATTTACTTTTAAGTCCAGTCTTTTATTCCTCTTAGCAACAACATGACTTAGTCTAAGAAACTGTGAAAAGTACATTTTTCTCCTTTCATCCATGGAATTCCCGTGACCCACAGTGACTAAGAAAATGAACTCAAGATTCAGTCTGTAGGGATTCAAATCTCATCTCCCCAGCCAGTATAACCTAGCCTCTCCATGACTGAATTTACAAAATGTAGATAATAATGCTACCTAATCCAAGAATTACTGTGCCAATTTTATATAAGACTGTTTTCACAGTCTGGTACACAAATGTCCAATAACTCTTTGCTACCTTATTTTTTAATATTGTTATTTTTTAATATTGCTATTAAAAAATGCTGGCTCTGTCATTTTCCATAATGTAAGTTTCGACAAGTTACTAAATCTTTCCAAGCCTCTGTTTCTTCTGAGCTGTCTGTCATTTTTTCCCTTGCATAGCAGAAATATCAAATTATCATTTTTTATGCAAAAGCAGATTACAGCTAAAATTAATATAACCTAGATTAGGTAATGAAATAATATTATCATGTTAGGTGGGTATAAAACTATATCATTTTTAAATATTTTTATTTTTATTTTAATATATTTTATTGATTTTTAACAGAGAGAAAGGGAGAGAGATAGAGAGCCAGAAACATCGGAGAGAGAAACCCAGCTGCCTCTTGCACACCCCATACTGGGGATGTGCCCGCAACCAACATACATGCCCCTGACCAGAATCGAATCTGGGACCTTTCAGTCCGCAGACTGACGCTCTACCACTGAGCCAAACCAGCTTCAGCTCATTTTTAATGATTTTTAGATATATCACTCCCTTCAACCTTACTGATCACCATCTTATAAAGGAGACAAAGGGGGTATAGTCTCAGTTCCCACAAATAAGGACACCAAGTCTCGGCGAGTTTAAGTGACTTGTCCAAGATCATAGCTTTTAAAGGTTGAAGTGAGTCTAGGAATCAGGTCACCTGACTGTGAGATCGGGAGGGGGGGGGGGGGGGGGAGACACAGTGTCAGTCTGTTAAAAGTACGCAGAGTCGGGAATACGGGAAAACAAAAGATGGAGAGAAAATGTGAGGATGTAGCTTGGGATATTTTTATAGCTACCACACAGCTCAGGCCTAGCCTAGGGGCTTTTAAAGTCTTTACATGGTTGTATGGACTATGACAGAAGAATTTAAGGTTACAAATTTCCTTCCATCCCAAGACCCTCAATTGTGGTTATATACCTAAAGCCACAAATACAGCGGGGTCTCAGGGACCAAGCTGTGGTTAAACACCCACTTCTGAAGAAGAGAGCCAGCTAGTGTAGATGGTATTGTGATTGACAGCACGCCACCATGAACCAGAACCTTGAGGTCTAGCAATCTAATATGTGGTATTAATTACCCAGGAGCTTATCATCAAGTCAGCAATCCCCAAACTGGTGAGACAGATGGGCCTGCAGAGAGCACCGTAAAGGCCAGCAAGCTCCATCGAAATAGGACTCCGAGAGGAGAGCTCCCTTCTGTCTCCTCACTGCATGTGGGGTGAAACTGAGTCCTCCAAGAGGGTGCCCTGGAGCACTCCTTTCCGGACAAAGCAATGTGTGTGTGTGTGTGTGTGTGTGTGTGTGTGTGTGTGTGTGGCCACCCATGGTAGACAACATGTGAGTGGCTCTCTCACCAGCCCTCCTGACCTGGAGCTAAGCTCCTGACATGCACTGTGCAGCCAGTGTGCACTGCCTGGGGCCGGCCATCTGCTGCCCAGAGAGGGAACTAGAGCTGAGTGCAACTACTCCTATCTTACAAGAGCTATTCCATCCAAACCAGCAACACTTTCACACTAAAATAATTCTCCACTCCTCCGCTTCATTTTGAGTTAAAATGCACAGAAGAGAGAGACTGGATATCTTAAAGTGCATTAGCAACCTGAGGATGCCAGCTTCAAACTTCAGCCATGTGGTGGATTAAGGGTCTCAGAATGGGACTGAGAGACGATTTCTGTCCTGCACCCCTCGGGTAAGTTGAGAAACCATCCCCAGGTGATGCAAAGGACTCTCCTGCCCTGGCAGTTCCTGTGTCTGGCAGGGGAAGGAGCTGGGGCAGGAGGCAGAACTCTGAGGAGACTCCTTTGATTTTCCTCCTCTACCAACTGCTGAGTCAGTTGGGGTAATAAGACACTGTCTTACCTGAGCATAAGGTTCTACCAGGTAGTCTTTAGCAGGAATGTATCTAACTACCAGACTTAAACTATTCACACTGAAGTATAATTTCCTAAGCAGGTTTGACTCTCCCAAAATATGTTTTCATTTACAATGCATAAATCTCTCGGATGGTGGCTGTTGGGGAAAGACAGATGATGAGGTAGGCTTGATGGAAAGGCCTAAGGGTCTTTAGACAATGCTCCAGGCACTTTTTCCCTACTGCCCTTCATCTCTGCTTGCCATTCTTAACATCCTCACGTATTCCTACTTGGGCACTCCAAAGTCCGATAACTTACGTTCCCACCACTGACCCCTCACTGGGTTGATTCTGGAATGCAGATTGACTGTCTCTCCTCTGATTAAAAGCCTCAGTGGTTTTCCAAAGATTTCAAGATACATCTTGAATAAATCTCATTGGTTTAGGAGATAACACGGCAAGCTCCCCATCCAGCAAACCTTTCCCTTTCCCCCCTTCTTCCCCAGGCTCCTTACTCTCTTTCTCTCTCCTAAGCCCCAAGGGCCCCTGCTTTGGCCTCTGTAAGTTTCTAAAAAAAAACAAACAAAAAAACTTCCCCTTGTAGTTTGAAACAAAGAAAACAAAACAACACTACCTGGACCTCTCTCCCCTTCTCTTAACTTCCTTTCCTTTCTCCACCACACATGCCCTTGGTTCCTGCTATTCTTGGGATGAAGCTTCCTGCTGTGTGCTCTGGTCCCCACCTGCCAGTACACCATACCTCCTTCACTACCTAGCCATTCACCAAGACCTCCAAGACTGCACTCTTTGGGAAGCCTTACTCCTCCTCAATAGCAAGTCCAGGAGATCTAGACCCATATCCTCATGTGCTTGTTTCCACTATAGCAGTAGACAGATGCAGGATGCTGGGGGATTTCTAAAGCTACTTCATGCCCTAACCCAGCGGTCGGCAAACTCATTAGTCAACAGAGGCAAATATCAACAGTACAATGATTGAAATTTCTTTTGAGAGCCAAATTTTTTAATCTTAAACTTCTTCTAATGCCACTTCTTCAAAATAGACTATCTCAGGCCGTGGTATTTTGTGGAAGAGCCATGCTCAAGGGGCCAAAGAGCTGCATGTGGCTCTTGAGCTGCAGTTTGCCTACCACTGCCCTAACCGATTTGACTCAATGAATAGAGCATCTGCCTGCAGATTCAAGGGTCCTAGGTTCAATTCCGGTCAAGGGCATGTACCTTGGCTACTGGCACATCCCCAATAGGGGGTGTGCAGGAGACAACTAGTTGATGTTTCTCTCTCATTGATGTTTCGAACTCTCTCTCCCTTTCCCTTCTTCCCAATAAAAAAATCAATAAAACTTTTTTTAAAAATAAATCTGCTTCGCCAAAACCGATTTGACTCAGTGGATAGAGCA